GAGGTGGGGATGGAAGGGATGGTAGGGGAAAAACAAAGGAGGTAGCAATGCTCAATAGAAAATGTACTCATTATCTCATTTATGTAACCAATGCCTCTGTACAGTATTTCTACAATAAAAACATATGTAGAATAACGAATATTTTGCTCACAAACTCATAAGTAAATACATTGGGTGGCATGCTAGTAGTTCCCAGAAAGAATGTTAGGATTAATATTGTGTGTGTGTGTGTGTGTGTGTGTGTGTGTGTGAGAGAGAGAGAGAGAGAGAGAGAGAGAGAGACAGAGAAGACAGAAGGGAAACGAGGGAGGGCAGAAAGAATGGAGGATGAGAAATGTTCATTTGTGGAAGGGATTGGAATAATGGCTTGCAAATATAAGGTCACTCGGAAAATATTCCCTATAACTCATAGCTATTAAAATGAAAGTACATTTTCTATGTACACAATGAAAACCACAAACCATGTGCTTTTTTGAGTTATGAGCTATCATCTCAGCCATAAGAACTGGGCTTCCTTATGTAATTCCCCATTATTATTTGCTTGATTTCCAAAATTCTAATATGAGTATAAACATTTACAATGATTTAACTACCCATCACATCAGAGTGGTAGCTTGATGTAGTGGAAATAGTCTATAAATATTTGAACAAAAGAAAAAAACATAGGCAAAAATACCATGAGGAAAGGAAAAATGTAAAAATGGAAAAAGTAGAGGGGAGATGTGAGGGGACTTTGAAATTGAATATGCAAATCTTAGCTCTGATTCTTACAAATTAGTAAACTTTATTTTCTTGTATGCCAGGCATGAATCATTATTAAAGGTATATACCAGTAATTCCAGCTAGTTAAGAGGCAAGCATCTGGAGGAGGATCATAGTTTGAGGATAGCCCAGGAAAAACTGTAAGATCATCTACCCAAAAATAACTACAGCAAAGAGGTCTTGGGGGATGTGGCTCATGCACTACACTACCTGCCTAGCAAGTACCAGATCCTAAGTTCAAACTTCATTACTGCTCAAAAATACTTATTCATAATTTTAATTCACATATGTTGATTATTGCTATTAATTAGTCAGGTAAACTTTGGCAAATAACAATCTCTCTGAATATTAGTGTCTTCACCTAACTATGGGGTAATGCCTTGAAAGATTTCAAGAATTAAAAATTCATAGTTAGATGAGTAAGTCCTTGAGTTCTACTGTCCAGTATACTACTTATAATTAGTAGTGTGGTATATTCCTTTTTTGATATGTGGGTAAATATTATGTAGTTGTACTTATTGTATATATAAGGCAATTCAGAGGGCTGGGAGAAACTTTCAGAAGTGATGAATATGTTTATAACATAGAATATGCTTGATGGTATCACAGATACATATATTTTTAAGTATTTTTAATTTAAATTTTATTGTACAGGTGATGAACAGAGGGGTTGCTTACGTAAGTCAGGTAATGAGTAGATTTTCTTTTTTTTTTCTTTTTTTTTTTTTTTTGTCGGTCATAGGGCATGAACTCTGGGCCTGGGTGCTGTCCCTCAGCTCTTCAGCTTAAGGATAGTGCTCCATCTCTTGAGCCATAGCACCACTTCTGGGTTTTTCTGCTTATGTAATGCTGAGGAATTGAACCCAGGGCTTCATGCATGCAAGACAAGCACTCTGTCACTGAACAACCTTCCCAGTCTTATTTTTGATAGAGTGCCACCTTTCCAGTCTTATTTTTGAAGAGTGTTCCTCCATCCCTCATTTTCTCTCATTTTCCCCCTCTCAATGCTCCAACCCTGCCAAGTTATAAAGTTCATTTCCAACATAGTGTCTAATGAGTACCATTGGTGCATTGGTTTATCCTTTGTCCCACCAATTCTGATTCCCCCAAATCAGATAAACTTGTATATAAGATAAGGAATTTAAAAATATAAAAAAGTGACAACAGAGAATAAACCAAAGGAGAAAAAGAAAAAAGAAATAACTGCAAGCAGTACAATAAAAAAACTATTGTTTCCATTTCTTGAAGTTCACTTCAATAAGCATCACTTTAACAAATCGTTTAAATAGGGATACAGGTGGACCCATTGCAACAATGAGATGTACAAGTCGTTATGTCAAAAACGAACTTTACAACTTTGGTGCGTGGGTGGTGGGGTGGAGGGGGGGGAGGATGGGAAGGTATGGGAAGGGGAAACAAAGGAGGAGGCTACAATGCTTGATAAGAAATGTATTCTTTATCTTGCCCATGCAATTGTAACCCCTCTGTACAGTATCTTCACAATAAAAAAAGAAGAAAAAACATCATTTTATATTTCATATGCACATAACTATTGAGCCATTATGATCCCCTGTTAAGAATATACTAGAAAATTTAAACCAACTGGATAGACCCATAACAAGTAATGAAATAGAAATGGCAATAAAAGAGCTCCCATCCAAGAAAAGCCCAGGACCAGATGGATTCACTACTGATAAAGTCTTGAAAGGAGCACTCACTCCAATACTCTTCAAACTCTTCAATGAAATTGAAAGCAAAAGTTCACTACCAAATTCATTCTATGAAGCCAGCATAACTCTCATCCTAAAACCAGACAGAGACTCATCAAAAAAGAGAACTATAGACTCATTTCTTTAATGAACATCAATGCAAAACCTCTCAATAAAATTTTTGCCAACTGATTTTAATAAGCAATAAAAAAAATCATACACTAGGATCAAATGGGATTCATTCCAGGGGTGCAAAGCTGGTTCAATATATACAAGTCAATTAATGTAATTCAATGTATCAACAGGAGCAAGGACAAGAACCACATGATTATCTCAATAGATGCAAAAAAGCATTTGACAGAATTCAACACCTCTTTATGATAAAAGCTCAGGAGAAGCTAGGAATCCGTGGAACATTCTCAATATAATAAAGGCTGTATATGACAAACCGACAGCCAGCATTATACTTAATGGTGAAAAGCTAAATCCATTTCCTCTAAAATCAGGAATGAGGATGTCTGCTCTCTCCACCCCTCTTCAATATAGTATTGGAATTCCTAGCCAGAACAATAGGCAAGAGACACATATAAAGGGGATTCAAATAGGGAAAGAAGAAGTAAAATTCTCCCTCTTTGTAGATGACATGATCCTGGTATTTAAAGAAACTCATGGATTTCTCTCCCAAAACTTTGGCAAAGTAGCAGGGTATAAAATTAACCCACAAAAATCAATAGTTTTCCTGTATGGCAACAATGAGAAGAGTGAGGCTAAAATCAGGAAAGCAACTTTTTTTTGTAATAGCCTAAAACAAAAATCCCCAGGAATTAACCAAAGATGTGAAGGAACTCTATGGTAAAAACTTTAAAAACCTGAAAAAGGAAATTAAAGCCAATTTAAGGAAATGAACAGATACATTTTTTCTTTTTTTTGTTGGTTGAGGGGCTTGAACTCTGGGCCTGGGAGCTGTCCCTGCACTCTTGAGCTCAAGGCAAGCGCTCTTCTGCTTGAGCCAAAGCGCCACTTCCAGTTTTCTAATGGTTTATTGGAAATAAGAGTCTCATGGACTTTCCTGCCCAGGCTTGCTGAACCATGATCATCAGATCTCAGCCTCCTGAGTAGCTGGGATTACAGGTGTGAGCCACAGGTGCCCAGCACAGATACATATTTTAAATCCATGAAATTGTATATATTAAATACAGCTTTCCATATGTCAATCATAGCTTAATGAAGTGACCTTCAACATTACTCTTATAAAATGTTCAATGAATAATAGGTTTATTGCTGTTGTTGTTTTTTGGTCTAGGGGCTTGAACTTAGGGCCTGGGCACTGTCCTTGAACCTCTTTGTGCTTAAGGCTAGCACTCTACCATTTGAGCCAAAGGGCCACTTCTGGCCTTTTCTGCTTATGTGGTACTGAGGAATTGAACTCAGGGTTTCATGCATGTTAGGTAAGCAATCTACCACTAAGCCACATTCTCATCCCTAATAGGTGTTTAGTAAGTTGCTGCTGACAATTCTTGAACTTAGGCCAGTGCTGCTGGTCCCATTACCTCCATCAACAAACTGCACCACCAACAGCATCTCCAGAAACTTCTCACATAGAACCGTGCTCCAAATAACACACTTTAGAGAGGAATGGTTTCAGAAGTATGATCATGAGTTTGGATAAAAAGTATTTTTTTAATTTAAATTTTATTGTACAGGTGATCTAAAGAGGGGCTACAGTTAAATAAATCAGGTAGGTGTACATTTCTTTTTGGTTTTGTTTTTGTTGGTTGTGGGGTCTGAACTCTGGGCCTGGGCCTGGCCTCAGCTCTTCAGCTCAAGCTAGCACTCTACACTTGAGCCACAGTGCCACTTCTGGCTTTTTCTGCTTATGTTGTGCTGAGGAATCGAACCCAGGGCCTCATGCATTCAAGGCAAGCACTCTTCCACTGAGCCACTTTCTCAGCCCTACATTTCTTTTTGAACAGTGTTACCCCCTCCCTCATTTTCTCTCATTTATCCCCTCTCCATACTCCAACCCTACCAAGTTGTAAAGTTCATTTCCAACATAGTCTCTGGTGAATATCGGTGTTGACTTGGTTCATCAGGGCTTTGTGCTCTTGCATGGCCTTTTCGCTCAAGTCTGGTGCTCAACCATTTGAGCCATAGCTCCACTTGCAGACTTTTGATAGTTCATTGGATATAAAAGTCTCATGGACTTTCCTGCTTATGAACCATGATCCTCATATCTCAGCCTCCTGAGTAGCTAGGATTACAGGCTTGAGCCACCTTGGTGCCTGGGGCTGTACTATGCATTTTTTTTAAGCATGTTTCTCAAGGTCCTATTGGATGCAAATAAGTCTCAGAGAATCTGGGAAAAAACATTAGCACCTCATCTTTATCTGAAGGAAAGAAGTTGGAGGCATCAATCACCTGAGCACATCTAAACTGTCCTGTCACCTGAAATCACAAAGCTCACATCCTTTGTAATGGAAGCGACTTATTCACAGATGTGAAGGGAAAGATGATTAAAGAAACACTCACCGATAGGATCTGGTCTCCTCTCTGGAGTTCCCCACTCAGGTCTGCTGGTCCCCCGGCCAGAATGAAGGATACAAAAATACCTTCTCCATCTTCCCCACCCACAATGTTGAAGCCCAGGCCAGTAGAGCCTTTGTGCAGGACCACCTTGCGGGGTTCCCTGTAGGAAGAAATGGAGAACACAGCTCACAGGGTGTCCCACTCAAGGTATTGCTTCTTTCTATTTTCACTGGGTGGCATGACACCAGCCATTTGCTACCTGCAATGGTTCCATAGGCAAGGTATAACTAACTCTCTTTGGCTAATACCAAAGAGAGATGAGTTCTTCAACTACCGAAACACCATGCAGAAACGTGCCTTAGTTCCAAAACTTACTTCTGTTTTTTTTTGGGACCAAAAACATTGGTACCTAATGCTTTCACAAACTGGCTATTGCTCTATTAAATGACCTATACTTCCAACTTACTAAAACATTCTTAAACTAGCAGAATAAGAGTTTCCAGAATTAGTGACACTTAAGAATCCATTTTTATTTATTTTGCCTGTCCCAGTGCTTGAATTTGGGGCCCAAAGCTCTTGATTAGCTTTCTTGCTTGTGGTTGGCACTCTACCACTTGAGTCATGATGTTAGCTTGTTTTTTTGCTGGTTATTTCGCAGATAGGATCTTCTGGGCATTTCTGCCAGGGCTAGCTTCAAACCTTAATCGTCCAGATTTCAGTCTCTTGAGCAGTTAGGATTAAATGTGTGAACCACTGGTGTCTGGTTGAGGATTCACTTTACTTGCCTGAGTATTTCACGATAAGTTGCTTTGCACGGTGGTTCTCTCTTTGAAATTCATGCTGCCCATACCATCCTTTGCATTCTCTAAAATTCAGGCTTCACACCTATACTAGTTCCCTGCACTGAAGCATCATCCAAACCCATTCTCTACTGTAATGTAAATCCAATGAACCTATGTGTCAGCTTCATTATCTTCAGTTACCTTATGCTTCAGCCACATCAAAATCGTGGGGCTTCCCTAAGGCTTCTGACCTCTATGACTTGTCTGTGGCCCTTGTAACCTCAGCTAAGATGTCACATTTCTGATTCCCCAGGGGCTGGTGGTTCCTTACTCCTTGGGCCATGCTGGATCTTGGATATTAACTTGAGAGCAGCATTTTTGTCCTGTGCACTGATTGCTCAGATGTGCTTTGCTGAAGGTGAACCCTTACAGACCAGGCTTAAGCAGCATCCCAGGATAGCAAGAGGTCTAACAACCAGTGAGAACTAGGAAACTGACATTTAATAAACAGGGAAACTCCCAATGTGATTTAGACCTCTACCTCTTATTATAATTACTTATGCAAATTTATTTTCTTCTTGTTAGACCTTTGAATAAGGGTTGGAAAAATTTTAAGTTGTGGGAAAAGTATGGATAACATAAAGCAAACTAGGAAACACATTTAATCTAAAGGGGGGTGCTGCTTGCTGATGAATGTTACCAGATTTCCAATTTTTAAAAGATAAGTCAAGAATCTAGTTCTTTATGTGAATTTTACGAAGTCTTTTTTGTTGTTGTTGTTTTTGGTCAGTCATGGGTCTTGAACTCAGGGCCTGGGTGCTGTCTCAGAGCTTTTTTGTTCAAGGTTAGTGCTCTACCACTTTGAGCCACAGCATCACTTCTGGTTTTCTAGTGTTAATTGGAGATGAGTCTCACAGACTTTCCTGTCCCAGCTGGCTTTGAACCATGATCCTCAGATCTCAGCCTCCTGAGTAGCTAGGATACAGGCATGAGCCACTGGCACCTGGTCAAAATTTTAAGATGACAATAATTTAGAGAAGTCCAAAGCAGAGTGCAGATCTAACAAAACATTTCTCTTGTGGATCCAGAGCTATACTGGCTGGGACTTGGTACTGTTGACACATTTGGTACCCATTCATGCTTTTCAGTGAAGCCCAGTACAATATTTGACTTATATAATTCCCTGTAACTTTAGTTTAGTACTCTGCGTTTAATTCACCTACTTCTTATCCTTCTCTTTTCTGATTTTCCCACTCTGGAATACCTTTTTTTTAAATAGTACTTTTCTCTTGTGTTCAATTTTTTTTCTCCTGTCTGAGAATTGCTGAAGAATACAGCCTTAGGATGGTCCATTCTTAAACACTTGGAGCCACAGCACTCATTTCTGCAGGTTTATTACCAAAGCCAGTAACGCTGGGTCTGATGAATAAATAGCTGATGTTTCTATGAATTGTTTGTGGCCTCCAGTGAGGAAAGCATGTTCTGCAGTTTTGGTGTCATGGCTTATATTTCCACAGTATATATCATTACCTCACTGAGAATAATGCTCAATAAATGTTTGATGATCACATAAATGAGTATCTACAGCAATTTGCAAAGAACTTCAATACTTCTCTTACTGAAATGTTGGTTCTAATTTGCCATGTTGATTATTTTCTCTTTCTCAAGAATTCAGATGGCACAGACCCAGTGAATAGTCATTATACACCATTACAGGCTGATAATGGAACAAGTCTAACCCTTATTGTTCATTCATGACTTAGCTCAGGGATTGATCATCTGGAAGGTCCCAATGCTGTACTGGGTTGAAGGTCTCCCCTAGAATTCTGTCTATGTGTCTGTTGTAGTGCTTATTATTTCCACTAGCTTGGGAAATCTCCCTCTCTAGCTGTCATGGTCAGGTTTGAGAGCAGGACTGGGCTTTCTGCTTTTCATCTCCAATATCTGGAGATATAATAGGTGCTCAGTGCCCACTAATCACCATTTTCAAATTGCATTGCAAACATGGAATCTAGAATAGGTGGAACCTGATGAGCCATAATGTCTTTTGTTTACAAAGTTATATATCTACTTAAAATGTATGTTATATTCATCCATGCTTTTTGGTTTTCCTGGAGCCTGAACTCAGGGTCTGGCCCTGTTCCTGAACTTTTGTGTTCAAGACTAGTGCTCTACCACTTGAGCCACAGCTCCATTTCAGAGTTGTTTTTTTTTTTTTTTTAAACTGGTTAATTGGAGATAACAGTCTTACAGACTTTTCTGCCCAGGCTGGCTTCAAAACACAATCCTTAGATCTCAGCCTCTTGAGTAGCTAGGATAGTGGTGTGAGCCACCAGGTCCCAACTCATGAAACTTTTAATAGACAAATATCTACAGAATATCCACTTCTAGGCACTGTGAATATAGAGAGTGAAGAGACTGGCATGGGAGAAGCCACTTGGAAACAGTGACCAAAGTTCAAAAACATGACTGATGATTGACAGATACTAGTGAGAGCAATAACTTAGTGTAGCCATGAATGAAGACTGACCAGTGTTTATCCCTTCATCATTAACACCCAGACAAAAGCACGCTACATTCACTTATGCATTTCACTTTTCTCTGTATGTGATATAAAAGGGCTTTATAATTAAAAAGCCTTTTGAACAAACTGGAGCAGTGCTAGGCTGACCTCCAAGCTGTGTCTGGTCATCAGCAGCATAATCTTGCTTAGCTGGAAATTGAGAAGATGCTCTAAGCCAGCTGGGATGTTTCTGTCAGGGGGAGCTGGTGCTAGGGGTTGTGTCTTATTTCAGATGGCTTCAGAGAGCTCCAGACTCAAGAAGGAAATTGATTACTTAAGCTTGATTTGCTGTGTAAAGTGGAACCAAGTAGTAAAGTGTTTCTAAAATGCATTACTCTCTAGCTCAAAAGCTTTTTAGGGATCTGTATGCCCTCAGGGTAAGGTCCACAAATCCCTGCCAGTGATTGAGTTTAGAGCCTCAGGTATGCTAAGTAAGTGATCTAAACACTTTGCCACACCCCAGCTCTTGATCTACACAAGATATTCGAATCTACCTACCTTTCCAATGTGTAACGTCAATGCATGCCATTGTACCCATGTTCCAGCCAGGCAAAGGTGCCAACCCCAGCTCCTCACAGCCAGTTATTATTGCATGCCTTGTCTCACTTAGGGTGTCAGCGTTTGCTGAAGTCATCCCTTCTCTTGCTATTCTTGTCTATCTAAGAGCCTGTGAAACTGAGATTAGGTAATGTCTCCTGTCAGCTGCCCACTCTGCCTTCACCTCCAGATGATCTGACTGACTGCTTCTCTTCTTCTTCATATATATATATATATATATATATATCAATATATATATATGACGGTCCTCAAATGACCAGAGTTCAGATAATCCTCCTACCTCAGCATCCCAAGTAGCAGTGACTACAGTGTAGACCTCACCATCCCATTCCTCTTCTCTTGGTTTGAAACTACATTGTCTTTTTGCTGATGCCACTGTTGGCTTTTCGGTTCCGCAGTTACTTTGCTTACACATCTACCTGTTCTGTGAATCTGAGAGATAAAGGATCTTCCATTTTTTGTGTGTGTTTGGCTTTGATCATTTTGAGAAGAAACGTTTAGGCTGACCAGCAAAACAAAATACACTTTACAAATAAAGATAATGTAAATAAGGATTTGGGGGGAAAGATACTGACTTGTATACAGTTCCATCCCCTGAGATCTGTGAGCACTGGGCTTTCCCCTTTGTGGGTCAATTTACTTGCTTGGTTAGTGCAAGATTCACCTGGGGCTCCTGGGGAAGTGGCACAACTCAGATAAGACAATGATAAAACTATAGATCATAAGAAGCATGATGGAAAAAATATACCAAGAAATTTGATTTATAGTTACTTTGAAGATTAGATGTTCTGCTGTAGAGCAGCTAAAAAATCTAGAATGAAATACTTAGAAAACACTTTCAAATATCTGGCTAAGCTTGCAAGGAAAAAATCAGTTAAATATTCAGAGGAAAAACAAAAAACCGAGTACTGAAATAGCAGAGACTGAAGAGCACGGAAGGTGGCCAGATCCAGTGTCCAGAGCTGATGGCTGCAGAGGGAGTAGGATTGTGTGGGCCCTGAGGTGGGGTCAGACACCTCAGAACAAAATTACAACTCTGGCCAGGTGCCAGTGGTTCATGCCTGTAATCCTAGCTACTCAGGTAGGTGAAAACCTCAAGTGGCTAAGACCTGAGGATCCTGGTTTAAAGCCAGCAGGAGTAGGAAAGTCTATGAGACTTTTCTCTCCAACTAACCAGCAAGAAGCCCAAAGTGGAGCTGTAGCTCAAGTGATAGAACACTAGCTTTGAGCAAAAAAAATCTTAGGGACAGAACCCAG